CGGCAAAATCGAGGCAATATTATTTATTGCAATAAATATTAGGAAAATTAACGAAGAATGGCTTCGGATAAGGTACGAATGTTTGTAAATTAGATTATTTTATACTTTACACTTTACTTTTTCAAATTTGTGGTAAAGTATAAAATGATCTAATTTACAAACATGTATCCGTACCTTATCCGAAGCCATTTTTCGTTTATTTTCCTAATATTTATTGCAATAAATAATATTTTCATAATGAAACGACGGACATATTGTACGCTTTCTCGATTTTGCCGCTTGCTGCTTGCTGTTCGTTCGGTTCAACTTCAACGAACTGCGGCAAAATGTATTTTGCGCCGGAAGTGCGTCATCTAGCTTACATAAAATTCTTAACCAATAGTAACGAATTGCTGCTGCAGCGTGCTGCGCATGAAAAAGTACCTTAAGATATTACTTAAGACAGTCTTCAAATAAGAACTGACTATGGCCGGTATTCATAGTCAGTTCTTAAGCGACGGCCGTTTACGTTCTCAACTGTGATTGGTCAATTCGCTTACTGATTACGTTTACGGCCTTACGTTTTTCTATGTGTCATGGGCTTTATATTCAAGACCGCTTAAGTTCAGTCCTGAAGATTAAAAGCGGGGAGCACAGACTTTTGCATAACGCATAAACCATATACATAAAGAATTTGATTGGTCCATTGACTCATGCATAAGAAAATGGACCAATGAAATTCCTTATGCACATGCTTTATGCGTTATGCAAAAGTCTGTGCTCCCCGCTTAAACCAGGCATTAGCTTTTGCTCGTCAAACAATTAAATGGTAGGATCTATAAGTAACAACCAATCATATTTATTTGCTCGGCGAGCAGGCTGGCTACTTTGTCGATTTGAACGCGCTCATTGTCTTGCTGCGTTCAGCAGAAAAGCAGCTTTGCAACTATTGTTCTAAAATTCTCGAATATAATTGATTTGTACATTTAGATCCAGTAAGGAACTAAGGGCATTCATATTAGTGAATTTTACAACAGTTGCAAGTTGCAAAGCTGCTTTTTCTGTTGAACCTAGCCTTTGCTTTATATCTCTTTTCTATCTTTTTTTCTGATTTCCTCCCCTCCCTTGAATACAATTTTAATTTATTAATAAATTATTTCTTTCTAGTAAATATTTACAATATTTTTCAGAATTCATTAGTATTTTTACAATAATATTTTTTTACTTTTGTTTATTTTAGAAGTGCTGTCGAAGGGAAATGAGCAGTTAACTTCCTGCTTAGTAGTTACGCTATTGAACGTTAAGCGGGGAGCACAGACTTTTGCATAACGCATAAAGCATGTGCATAAGGAATTTCATTGGCCCATTTTCTTATGCATGAGTCAATGGACCAATCAAATTCTTTATGTATATGGTTTATGCGTTATGCAAAAGTCTGTGCTCCCCGCTTTAGATTTCTCAATTGTCGCAATCATTTTTAAACCGCCTAGTAGTGTGTTTGTTACAAATTTAAATGATAAACGAAATGTTGATATGAAATGTAAGAATTAAATTGATCAGTTTGTTTCTTATTGTTTAATTTTGCTCTTTTTATTTTGTTCAAGTTCGTGTAATATGGCATCCACGATGACAGTTCAAGTTCCCATCAAACTTTTATCTAGGAATCCTGGTGATTCATATTCTCATGATTTACAATTGTATCAGAACGTACCGTTTGGGAATATAACATTAGAAGAACTGCAAGAAATATGTGAAACACGACTCAAAGGTTAATTCTCAATTTTGCACCTTATTTTCTTTTATTTTTAGAATAATATTTTATATTAATATAATAATGTTTTTATTTTTAATGTGCTTTTGTGTGTGTAGTTCTTTCTCTAGTGGAACGTATTCATTTACAAAAATTGACAATGTCGGTGTCACAACGCAGAGTTGCCTTGGTTGAGGAGTTACACAAACAAGGGATAGATGAATTTGCAAGATTGATTAATAGCTCTGGATGCAAATCGCTCACCTACATGGATATACGTGCTAGAAGAAGAGATCATATATCTCATTTTATGTTAAGATCCACAGTTGCCTTCAATGAATATAAAAAACGCTGGTTTTTTAAGCAAGAGGCAAGGCTATTCAAATGGAGATTTTCTTCATTGAATAACGAGGGAATCAGGCAGTTTATGTGCATTAATAATTTTGACTTTACACTGGTTAGTTATTGTTTGCTGTAATATTTAGGTGTCACTTTCTTCAAATCTTGAATTAAAAATATTTTTTGTTGGTTCTAGATCAGTCAAAATGAAAAAGAAAATATCAGAGAACATCTTCAAATGTCTTCTCCCAATGTTAGTGATGTTGATAACACAAAATTTTATAGGGTACCTTTCTTTTATATAGCTAATTTAATTAGAAAGCGTAAAGTTTTTATTATGCAAGGCGAAGCTTTTGTACCTGAACAAGAAATGGCGTTTGTGTTTGTGACACATTTCAGGAGAATTCTCTTATCAAGTTTTGGTGTAAGTATAAACATGATTACTTTATGAATTTGTCAATCAACTTACTATTTTCTATTCTGTTATATCTTAGGTTGCACGTGAAGCTAGAGCTAACTTATACAATGATGAAAGGTTCACTCGTATCTTTGCTTATTTAGAAAATTATATTCACATTCAGAGTACTGTATTGGTACAAGAACAAGAGATACAACAATATATTTCGCTTGACCAATTGGATAAGGTCAAAACATATTGTTTATTTCATCTTATAAATGATTTTATAACTAATAACAATTAAATTTGACATGCTAAATGATATCTTTTAACAAATGGTGATTGTTTTACTATAGCTTGCAGAAACTTCTTATCCTCTATGTATGAGAGTGCTTCACAAGGCACTAAGGAAGAATCATCATCTTACACATGGTGGTAGAGTACAGTACTGTTTGTTCCTGAAGGGCATGGGACTTTCTTTGTCTGACACAATAACTTTTTGGAAAGATGAATTCACAAAAATAATGGACGATACTGCATTTAAAGAACATAAATATACTATAAGATTCATCTTTGGACAAGAAGGTAGTCGTCGAGATTATCAGCCTTACACTTGCCTAAGAATTCTAGAGTCGACTATTGGACCTAGAGATTATCACGGATGTCCTTTTAAACGTATGCTGCATGATATACTTGAAGATGAACTTACTGATTGTGGTTTTAACGCGTTAGGTAAGTATCTAAATATTAATTTGTATATAGAATCATAAAATAAATTCTTTTATGTATTAATTTATCTCGCAGAGAGATCAGCAATAATGAAATTGTCCAAAGACGGTCAATATTCTGCAGCTTGTAACAAATATTATGAAATTAAACATGACTGTTTTGATGACAACTTGTTTAAACATCCAAATATATATTTTAATGAGAGTATGAAACATCGCACTTCAAATCATTCTGGTGAGATTTATTTGATTTTATATGTATTAAACAGTTTACTGTTTTGTATAAATTTTAAAATTACATTAAAATTAAAGATCCAGAAACAGGAGATGCGTATTAATCATCAGAATCAGAATATTTGAAGAAGTTAGAAAATATTATATTAGGACCGTTATATTTAATATCATCAACACACAGATATAACGTTTTTTTTACAGATCTCTGAATGTAAATATATAATATATACATTTGTGTGTGTGGTGTGTGTGTGTGTATTTGTGTGTATGTTAATTTATTTAAAAACTAAAATAAAAATATAAAATATTCCCAAGATAATTTCACTAGATGGAGAAGCAATTAACACTTATTAGCGAATTTCATCTTGCTAATGACTTATTAAAATTAATAAGTTTTTAGCAACTTTTTAAAATTTCAAATTCATATTATCTTCATCCTAATTACCATAATGAATGAACAATAAGCATTTCTTAACACTAAAAAAAATTATTTCCAATTTCAAAGTTAAACTTTAACTATAACACTTTTAAGTTAATTTAAATAGCTCATATATTAAAATTTATGAAGCGTTACGTGAAATATTGTAAAAACACATACAATGACACATCTTTATACACATAGTATTTTTAATTGAGATATATTTTAATTTGTAAATGAAATATTTCTTTTTACAATTAGATGATTGAATTTAAAAACGCGTTTAGTCCAAAGATATATTTTTCTTTTCTTCAACAAAATAACAGGCTTAACACAAAAACAGAAAACATCACATAAAAAAATATTGCCACGATACAACACAGCATAATTTACTATGTTTCATGATTTTTATTCTGTAGATTGCTGCGGCGATACGTAAGTACCGAATGATATATGTATGTACATTTAAGTGATAGAAGTAACGAGCAATATTTATGTACAAGTACACCGAATTATAAACACTTAACACTCGCCACACCTTACACATTATTACCTTATTCAATTCGTAACGTTGTACCGTTGTCTCATTAAATGCTATTTTAAGCAAGATTACATGATTGAAGAGTACGGGGAATTTTTGGCACAGTTCGTCATCTTAATAGAAATAAAACGAGTTTGATAAATAAATCTTAAATGTAGCTTATCAAGAAATACACGGAAGAAATGCTTATAATCCTCATTATAATATTGTGCTTGTAGTTAAGCAGTCGTTATACCAAATGCAAAAGTTTTTTTTTCAATCTAAAAAATATTCGATGTTTGACGTCAAAATGATATGTGTCGTGTAACACTAAGTCGATTCCCGCGTAATCCATTGTGAATCGAGTGCGTACGCAAAATTCAATTAATATCACGTTGCAGCCTGTAGCAATGTAATTATAGCCGATAATTATTGGCGTCTTATACACGATAGAGAAACCATCATGCAGTTCCAAAAGCGGGTTATATCACAAATTTAACAGCAGCGATAGATATAGTAATGGATTTATGCAATGCATATATTACAATTCTTTGTTTTTTAACAAAATCAAAATAGTTTTTATTTTACGTTCGCGCATATATTATGAACAACCACTCCTGTGTACATTTGAGAAAACTAGAACTGTACTTTTCATTTTTCTGTAAATGCATTCTTCTCTCATTCACACGTTATTTTTTGTACACACTCATACTTTTATTTCTCTTCTGCGAACTCTTTCTATTAGAAATAAAATATGTTAGTGGGCACATCGATAAAATCATCATTTATAACAAACAAATCAAATTATAAAGTCTTATATTTTTTTTTAATCATTTACGTATAAATATTGTTAAATATGTATATTAAAAATTTGCTACATATTCCACGATTATTTTACACAGATTTGTTATTCTATCCCGATAATGACTTAAGTTGGTTAAGTAACTCTCTTTTTTCATTTTCAATAAACTCCTCTGGTATTTGAAGAGATAAGGATGTAATAAAATGATCCCTAATGTTTCTCTCGATTATCAAATCATGCACCTTATTGGCAATGGAGATATGAACAAGAAAAAAGAGAAAAAAAAGGACGACATTGGATTAATCGTATTCTACAGGAGGATGAGTCACGGTGTCATTGTATAAAAATCTAAACTGACCTTAAACGTGTACTAAAAAATATAATTGCTTCTGTTCAAGCGAGAGGACCAATTATTGGTGATAGTTCCAATAAAAAGGTCAACCTCTGTGCGCTCGGGATATACTTTCGTTGACGCCTCCGTGACTCATTAATTCGGATCGTCAGTCGGACCAAACGCTGTTATTCTTGACGTAACGGATATTCGCTGCTACGTACGTGGAATTTACTTTTCATTAACAATGACTAAATAAATGATATTACTAATTAGACAGGACACTTGCATTGCCGTTGGTTACGTCTTGCGTAAAATGCAAGAACTCTATCATCATATCATAAGATTTCACTGTCGAAGGAAGAATTGGAGAAATAAAGATTCGTCGTATATTTACTGCTTCATGTGAATCCACAATGAATTAAATGCGTTGATGGACCGACTTCCTCGCCGAGAACGAATGCTATAATATACTGTCAATCGCGATATGATTCACGCGCGCACACATACATCACTGATGGCAATTTATCAGACGTGCACATCGTGAATATCCTGATTACTCTGGCAAGTCCGATGCTCGTATTTGTAAGAATAATCCCATTGGCGACAAACGAAACTGAAGAACCAGTCGCGGTTTGCGTTTACTGCCCATTTGCAATGTTAAACGCGCGTAACAGTGTCAATCGTAGAAGAATTTAGACGGATATCTCGTAAACGGCATACATTCTTTTCTCATTGGAGTATAAGACATGCAGATTACTCGGCGGCTCTCGTAGAATCTCCGTCCAGCCGCAGGATGGTGCGGAGACCGGAAAGGTGGGCTATACGGATATTTCATAGTTCATATCGTATACGCTCGCACGGTCCGGTGTCGGTGTAGTTGGTCTTTGAGATCTCGGATCGTTGGGTGCCGAAACCATTTCTATGGAATCGGTCATTTCGAGGGCTCTGACGAAGGACATCGGTCGACGCCGTGCGTCCCCCGCGGTCGGTGTGGTTGGTGTTGCCATCGTAGTCGCTTTTCGTTTAACTTGCGGCGACTGGTGTGGTTGATGTGGCGGGAAGACGGGCACTCCACCTCTCAAGGCTGGATGATACGCTGCTCTAGGAGCGTTCGTCGTGTATTGCGATTGTTGAGTAGGGCTCGTGGGATTGGAACGATAGTAATCGTACGGCGGAGGTCGATGGGAAGGCGATTGATGCGCCGTACCGCTCACCGCTCCTCCAGGAGGTGGACCTGGATAGCTGCCGGGAGAGTTGTCTTTCCACAAGTAAACACTACGCTGCGGCGAACCAGCCAGTTCGCGTATATTGTCGACCGTGTTATTGGTTCTCAAGTACGGATGATCGATGCCCTGTCGTACGAGCTCACTCTCTGACAGGAAACGCCGCTGCGGACTGTAACCAGTAATGACAGAACCGGGAACCTCGACTCCCGTATTGTTTCCCTGCTGTACATCATAATATGTCGGCGCTTCGTTCACGCCTATGAAATCCGGCCGACGAATCTGCGTCGGTGTACCCGGGTTTGATCTGTAACAGACACAACGGATCTTAGATTCCAGAATCTTCCGCAACACTTCCGATAATCGACAAATGCACAGTACAGTGAACCAAGATGAATATGCAAGTGCTTTGAGCATTGTAGCCATACAAATACGGCTCTGGCGAGACATACAGGAGAGAGAGCAGCGCATCATTCCTGTTAAGAATTTAGCATCTATTTAAGAAACATAAAAGATAGCGAACCTAAGAAATATGTGTATAGGAGCGTCTTGTGTAATGTGTGTATGTATGTATGTGTATGCGTGTATGTATGCCATATGTAAAAATATTTTTACAACCATGTTTTTCTATATATACGAAGATATATGCAAGAAAGCATAATTGTAAACTACGGTATGTCCTCGTAGGATGAAGTTCGTGTTTACCTGCAGTAGGTTGCAACATGATGGTAGAAAGCAGCTCCTTGCAGTTACCACCCCCTGCAGTGGGACACAAACTTATCTATATACCATATATCTTGTAATATGTACATGCAGAGAGACTAATTGTCTACAATATTTATTGTAAGCTACATTGCGCAATTTTCCTTTTTGACACGTTCCTTCGTCCTCCGGAAGGCGAGAATAGTGATAACAGAAAAGGAGGAGAAAGAAGAGCAAGAGTGAGGTGTTTAACAGTGAGGGACAGGAGATTTTGACAAAACAGGCCGACATCATATCGAAGGGTAGCAAAAAGGATATCATAAGAGGAATATCGTTCACTTTGTATTGGCAGCGTGCTCAAGAGATGCATTGTAAACTATTACTAGTGTGGCGCTTCCCTCTTGCTCTCTACATTGAGATAATTTTGTGCAATGTGAAAATCGCGATATATATATATATAATTAAAAGTACATAATAAATCTGAAATTGTATAGATAATTGAATATTTCGTATAAGAATCGACCTAATGTAAGCACTCAATTAATCAATCAATTAACCCTTCATTTTTTTTTCGTATCACGTGTAAATGTATTTCTATTAGAAGATATTTCTTCAAATATGTATCAGATTAATATATATATTTTAATTTTTCTTTTAGTAATGCACAAGTATAATGTACCTTCGTATGGGACTGGATATGGCAAGTGGAGTAGGTACTCCAATAGCTTTGATACGTTGTTGCATCGTTGGGCTGGCATCACCCTGACGTTGAGGAACCGTGGCGGGCGAACCACTCGTCTCCGGTGATAACGGGTCGGGTGTGTGACTTCGAGATCCGTTCATCCCTCTATAAACATGATGAACATAAATACTACACTAGAGCATTTTGCATATTGAAAATCCTGTCATTATCTGTTACCGTGGCCTTAGATATGGACTGCCTCTAGGATAATGTATTGGATGGCGAAGCTGCGACGGTGGAGGATGCCTGGGAGATTCGTTGTTCTCCACAGGTGGCAGGAAGAAATTGCTTTTAGAACCGTGTCTTTGCAGCGGCGGCGTAGGTTCGCAGTCTGCAGATTGAGACGCCGTCGGTTCCATGTCGGTGTCCGATCCGTCTCGTCCGGGTGATAACTATAAAGAAGAACCAACAATGTCATTGTGATCAAAGAAATATTTCAAGCAAAAATAATACATTTCTCTTTGTAATATACATTACTATATTTCCTGAATGAATATTAGGATCAGTTTGGATGAATAGAATATGTGTAAATCATAGAAGGAAATCAGTAAAGGCATCTTAGGACTCTGGATTGATCGGTACTGATAGATGAGGTATCATCGCTGCAACTTATACTCTATAGATATAATAAGAAAAGACAAACATATATGTTAATTTCTATAATAAAACACTAAAATGTGTACTACAAAGCTTGTATTAGGATTTGCATAACTGTTTACATTTTTTCTAATAGTACAACAATGTTGCTAGCCATGCTATACATGCTTCAAAACTGCGTAGAAGCAAAAGAGTGCTTAAAATGTAAGCTTCGTCCAAAATTTGTTTAACTGTGCTAATAGTAAGAAGGATACAAATCATAATAATGTTTAAGCATCAGATTCCAAATTGAAGTCATGGTGTTCATAAAGTAAGAAGATAAGCGGGACTGCGCTAGCTCTTACCTTATTGTAAGCATTTGAACTGGCATTTCTAACACCATTGCTGCTATCCATGTAGGTCTTTACCTGGTTCTCACTGCCTATAGTAGATATCTCTGACGCACACGCTCCACGACGCTTCCCTGAATACTTATCAGGTTTAAGTAAGCTGCAAATCACACAGAAAATTCATTATAACAAAATAATTTACGCATACAGAATTAATTTTACAATACCTTGGCTCCTTGCAATACCTTGGGTATTGTGGTCCAAATTGTGTGTAACAGCAATTGCGCAGACACCCACGTGAAAAAGGATTGTAGCCCCCGTTAAATTTGCCTGTTACCTGTTCGTTCGTAGTACGTCCTCTAGAAACGAGGATCATGTGAAAGCCGGTCAGTCCAAAGATTGGAATGAATAAGAGTATTACCACTCCCATGAGTATGAGTCTGTACTAAGGTCAAGGATCTCATAAAATCGATATCGAATGTATAGACCTGTTCTTTTTGGCTAAACTTTGCATTAGTTTTTTCTTCTTTTTTTTCTTTAATTTAAAGAGAAAAAGAGGAAAGATAAAACCATGCAAAAAGTTCAGTTGAAAAGAATAGATTTTATAATTCTTGTGCTATATGCAGCAGCATTTTATGAATATCTTGGAAATTATTTTCTATGTAAAGGATACGCAACAATAGTATTAACTTCGCTCAGCTGCTCTTTATGCTCCAGTAAATAATATAGACAAAGCCCAAATATACTAAGCATATGAAGACTGAGTGATAGAAGAAAAAGGAAGAAGTATCTATAATTCCTCCTACCAATACAGTTGTTCACCCATGGGCAATGATGATCGAATGTCTAAAAATACAAAATCAATCTCATTAGACTTTCCTCTTACAATCTGTCCTAATAAACGTTAACAAAAAGAAACATACCTCGATACAATGATTGCAGACGCTGCAGTGTGAACAACGCGGAGGTCGATAAAATTTGCAGGTGACACACCACTTCATACGTACAGTGATGCCATTGATCTCCACACTTTTATATAATGGAGCTCGAAAATCATCCTCTCGATCTTCGTCAGGAGGTGCTTTAATAAAAAAAAAAACTATATTACTCCATACTCATAATTATGTTCTATTGCACATATAATGCGCACAAAAATATCATTTTATTCTCGTTATTCACAAAATCTTAAACAAGGATAAAATTATCATGCGCATTATGTATGTAATGGAATGCAGCTTGTGTTTCGCTATAAGTACCGTAAACATATTTCATATAGTAAACTCTATAACATACTCGAAAGCTAATAAGGAGAAATTCTATTTTGCAAGAACGAGTCAGGGGAAATACTTGCACATGGAGATTGATTTTTCAGTCTTGCATGTAATATTTGAAACGTTGAAACATTAGAGAATGTAGTACATTAGAAAAACGGAGAGTACAATCCTGAGGGTGACTTGCCTATATTTACAGTGTGAATACATAAGCTTTGCAGTATGTTACACAGAGTTCACTGATTTCATGTTACCTTTTGGTATAACACCAGGATCCATAAACGTCGCTAGCGAGAAGTTTACCACCACGAAGAAGGTGATAACTCCTTGTAGAACCGGTACCCATAAGCCCCACCGAGAGACATAGTAGTTCCAGCACCTGCGAACGCAGAACATGTGAGACTCCAGCGATATCCTCCGAGGACGAAGGGGAGCTTCGTCCTCGACAAAAACGTGCTCGCAACGCGATGGTACGAGTCGCGGGTGATGGCAGGGCCGAAGGAGGAGAAAGAGAGGGACAACTTACGGGAAAATGAAGAAGAGTGCCGTGGTGACGAGTAGGACCATCCACGCGAACGTAGCTGGCAGAGGCCTCGTCTTCACATCGCATTTCGGCATTCTGCACGCTCCGCTCTTCCGGTGGCACACGATCAGCGCGAATCACTGACGGACAGGATTTCTGCTAGCAGGAAATATGGCCGCGTCCATCGCGTGTTCGACTCACTTGCGACACGTACGGATCGCGGCAAGGACGGCCGCGCATTCTAGATGCCGTTCGGGCGTCCGTGACGTATCGCCGATATGTGAACCCTGATTCCGGTCACTCGCGTGTCATCTCGGCGCGAAACGTCGACGGCTTTCTATCAATATTTAACGGTCAGCTCACGTATGGGTATCGGACGAGCACACTACCTCGATGACATACATATATAGCGATGCATCTCGCTCCATCGTTGAATCTCGTGCGGCCGCAACGCGCGTGTCAATCCCCTCTCCGCTGTATTGCTCCGTATGCTCCGTATTTTGCCATGCGCTTTTCTGACTTGCGAATATTCACCAGAATATACTGATGGAAATTTCAGGGCAAATTTGACTTTTTGGTTGCATTTATTCTTTGCAATATATTTATTTTGTTATCAGAATCGTTTTTTTTTCTGTATATATTTATATATTAGAGATATTATAGGATGCTTTCTATATTGGTAACTTATAAGCCGATACAACCATCGTTTTATCCTATAATGCATTGAATAGGTACTACTACAACAGTTCATTGAGCGCTCGCAGTATCTGCTTGGTCTATATTTTTTTATCTATATAATAGAATATGCCTATCAAATACAAGGTTCAGTGAACGATTGTAGTTCTGAATAAACCCAATATACACACAATTATTCTATAATAATAAAGAAAAGGGTCTTCTTACATAAGACTCTGTATATGCTTATATATAGTTCTATTTTTGTTAAGTCTTGTGTGTCTATGAGACTAGAAATCAATCTGAGAGATCTCGGATAAAAAAATTGACCATAATCGCATTGGTCATGTGATTGATTCGTTCAAATGTGATTTCTTAATTCTTTCCTGTCCGTGTAGATTAGCTTTAATCTCGATTTAATTTACTCTTTGTTCTTTTCAAATTATTGAAAAAAAAGATAAAATGTAAGTTGAATAATCAAGATTAAAGTCAATCTACATTAGAAATCATTGGGCATATATTTATTTTGTGACATATAAGACTTAAAAGAGAGTGTACGTTCAGTGTCTGGTAGATTGAGATGTTAATTATTGTTTCTTATTCTTTACAATTTCTTTCTTTAAATCTATAGATTTAATGCAAAAAATTTCATACAACTTTCTTTTTTTTTTACAACACAGTATAAAAATCATTTACATATGTATATATATGTATTTAGAACGTGAGAGAGATTTGAATTTTTCGAAATGGCGCGAGAAAAGACTTTCGCGAAGTCTGCGGAAGTGACGTCCGCACGAAACGACGCTGCGATTGGTCGTGGTACACGTGACGACCTTTCGTCACTTCCGTTTCGCGGGTAAATTACTGAAGTAACGTTTTCAATCGCGCTGGTTATTCTTTGTACGGTCAAGTGAAATTGGAATAAAAAGTATTTTGCTGCAACTGCAAGAGTGTCCGAAGAGGCAACATGCACGTTCTCAAACGCGGTAATTTACATCAAATTGTACAAACACGCTCTTACTTGACATCGTTATTTGATATATCCTTGCGTGTGAAAACTGTTTTCGTTCCACTGATCTTTCCTCTATCAATGTCTGTTTTATTTGTTGTCAGATGGACGTAAGGAACCTGTGCATTTCGACAAAATAACTGCGAGAATCGAGACACTATGTTACGGTCTGGACATGAATTATGTGGATCCAGTAAGCGTTTGTACATATACTTTTATAACTGGTGAAACAAAAAGGAAATCTTGTCTTACGTCAATTTTTCAATTATTTTTATATTAATGAATGTTTTTCTGAAAGTCAAGTTTATTATGACTTATGTAAAATCGTTAGATTAAAAGAAATGCGTTACTGTACTTATTTTTTATTGTACTTTTCTCTTACAGTCTGTGATTGCACTTAGAGTTATAACCAATTTGTGTTCTGGAGTGACAACAATTGAATTGGATAACTTGGCAGCTGAAACTGCGGCGACTATGATCAATCAACATCCAGATTACGCAATCTTAGCAGCTAGAATTGCTATATCCAATCTACACAAGGAGACAAAGAAGGTGTTCAGTGGTAAGATATTATTAAACATCGATATTATATTGTTCAATATTTGATTTATTATTAATACTTTGTATCTTACAGAGGTGATAGCTAATTTATATCATGCAAGAAGATCAATCACGAATGAACGCTTTCCTGTAATCAGTGAGAAACATTATCAAATTATCCAAAATAATGCAGACAAGTTGAATTCAGCAATAATATATGATAGAGATTTCAATTATAGTTATGCTACATTTAAAATGCTTGAGAGTGATCATCTGTTAAAACTGAATGGTAAAGTTGTTGAAAGACCACAGCACATGTTAATGCGAGTTGCTGTAGCTATTCATGATGAAGACATTAATAAGGCTATTGAAACATACAATTTTATGTCAAAACAATATTTCATACATGCTGAACAGACGATAGATACAGCATGTTCTGTTACACAACAAATGGCTAGGTGATTATCTTCAAGAACAAATAGATTCATTAAGCATTGTATTAATGTATTATTAAATAAATGATATTTTTACAGCACATTTTTATTGACAATGTCTGGTGATAGCATAGATGGAATATTGGATACATTAGAAAGGTTTGCTGTTCTTTGTCATCATAATGGTGAAGTAGGTTTCAATGTACATTGCATTCGAGCAAAGAAAACACCTATTAGAGGCACAGGAGGTGTGTCAAATGGATTAGTGCCTATGTTAAAAGCATATAATACATCTATTGCAACGGTCTCAAAAAATAACAAAAATGAAGGACCAATTACTGTATATTTAGAACCATGGCATTCCGATATTTTTGAGTTTTTGGACCTTAAAAGGAGTATTGGTTATTATTTTTTATTAATAATTTTTCTTGTCATATTTGTTTTGATAAATAACTATATAAATATATTTTTGAACAACTTTATTACAGGTGAAGAGCAATTAAGGGCAAAAGGTATGTGTTATGGATTATGGACTCCAAATTTATTTATGAAACGTGTTTTTGATGATGATGTATGGAGCCTAATGTGTCCACATGAATGTCCTGGGTTAATTGAAACTTGGGGTGATAAATTTGAAACATTATATACTACGTAATTGATTATATATATTTCTAATATAATTTAAAAAATAATATTGAATTTATATAATTTTTAATGAATGTATATTCCTATTTAGATATGAAAAGCAAGGACGTTTTCGAAGACAAGTCAAAGCAAGGGATTTATGGCTTCTCATTACTCAGATACAATTTGAAACAGGAGTGCCATATATAGTTTATAAAGATCATTGTAATTATAAATCTAATCATCAGCATTTAGGCGCAATTAAATGCAGCAGTTTTTCTACTGAAGTAGTTCAATATTCGAGTTCGGATGAAGTTGCCATGTGTAATACGGCTTCAATCGCTGTCAATATGTTTGTGAATTCTACTAAGAGAGTTTTCGACTTTTATAAACTTAAAGAAATAGCGAAAATTGTCACCTACAATTTGGATAAAATGATTGATGTTAATTTTTATCCTCTCCCAGAGACAAAATCATCGTGTGATAAGCATAGATCTATTGGTAAGCTATTTGTATGTAATTTGCATACTATGTACATTGCTTTTCTTAAACTTACTTTTGAAACCTTAGGTATTGGTGTACAGGGATTAGCAGATGCATTCATTTTAATGAGATATCCATTTGAAAGCAAAGAAGCTAATGAACTCAACGTTCAAATTTTTGAGACTCTCTATTATGGCGCTCTAGAAGCTAGTTGTGAGATAGCTAATGAAAAAGGTCCTTACGAGTTATATGAGGGTAGTCCTATCAGTAAAGGTGTAAGTATAATTAAGGAAAACGGTTTCTGTTATCTATTATCAATTTGTTGTGAAAATTATTTACATCTAAAAATGCAATTTTTGTTATAGATCCTCCAGTTTGACATGTGGCATGTGAAACCAACAAATTTATGGGACTGGGATATTTTAAAGGGAAAAATTGCTACACATGGAGTGCGCAATTCTTTGTTAATAGCTCAAATGTCGAATGCATTTATGGCACAAATGTTGGAAAATAATATATCAGTTGAGCCATACACAAGCAACATTTATACAATATATGCATTATCAAAACAATACTCAGTTATTAAACCACATTTGCTACGAGATCTAATCGAGAAAGGTCTTTGGGATGAAAACATGTGTAATAAAATTATTCTTAATGGCGGATCTGTACAAGTAAATATTCATTGTTTAATTTAATGTATTTACTGTATTATAAAGTGATTTCTTATTAAATAAATATTTTATAGTATAAATATAAAAAGGGCAAAAAGAGCCAAGTAAATTAACGAATAATTTAATTTAAACAATCATACAAACATATAGAAAATAAACGTTTTGACTCCGATCGGGTCAATGTTACATAAAATATGAAGTATTATAAATTAAAATAATATATTGCATATGTACATTCTTCATTAAGTAATTCAATGTAAGATTCAGTTAATGTTGGTGTTGTAAGCATAATTAATTCTTGTCAAAAATAAAAAAAAAAAGAAGTAACAAGTTCATAAATAAAAATTCTAAGTCACAACAGTAAAATTAAA